TTTCTCACATCATAAGATTTATCACTACTTGCTTAATTTTTGGACACCCCTCTTAGCACTAGGAAGGCAGGGATTGGGATAGCTTACTATTACTCTAGCCCCAGTGTCTAGCACACAATATACTTTTCCTGAATTGATCAAATTTTACTTAACTTTGCTAAACTCCAGCTCTAAAAGTGGGAATAATTTTAGGGACTGTCACTACCCCATTAAGAAAGATCTGGGAATAGATGCCTAGAGAGGCGAGAATATCTAGTGAGGGGCAGAGGTAAGATTAGAACCCATGCAGTCTGATTCCAGATTCTTGTTTCTTTGCCTTCATGCAATGCTCTCTCTCAGGGAGTCTTATTTTGTTGCCTCTCTGTGTGGCTCCTCTGCTTTTATTCCTCAGCCACGATTTGGAGACTGTGTGTAAGAAAGGGTGGCTGCTGCAGTCCAGCACACGGACAGCTCGGAAATGTGACAGCTCATATCTGGAAAACAAGAAAGGAGAAAAAGGAATAACAGAAGGTACCCAAAATTTCCAAAGCAGAAGAATCTGTGAGCTCTTCCGAACAGAGGCAAAAACTGCCGTCCAGAGAGCCTGGATGCTTCACAGCACAGGAGAGCAGTGGACACTCGTCAATACTTAGCCATCAAGAAGCAGGGGTTCAAAGGGGCCCATTATGCAGTTAGCTTTCAGGTTTGATAAATATTTATCGATCTGTCTTAAGCCAAGAACTGTGCTAGGCACTGGGGATACGGAAGCAGCTCTTCTGTCAAGGGGTTTGCTGTGAGGTGAGGGAGGCAGACTAGGAAATGGACAACTTGAATGCACTGCTAAGGCAGCCACCAGCTTAGGGGGGTGTGGTAGCTCATGGAAGGAACACCTCGTAAGTTATTTAGAGAAGACTTTTTGGTGGAAGTGATGTCCAGAACGAAACCAGAGTAACTCAAAGAATATAGTGTCTTTCAGAAAGATTACAGATGAGAAATGGTGGTAATACAGTGAAGAAGACATAGTCTGAAGTCAACTAGTGGATCATGGTATCAGTTCTAGTTCTGTCAGTTACCAACTGTGTGACTTGAAGCAAAAGTCAGTTGACATTTCCACCATTAACCTAAAATGTGGACATAAAAATGCATACCTCATAAGGTTGTTGAAAGGAGAAAGTAGGCTATTATATTTGAAGACTGTCGTGAAATGCAAAGTACTATAAAGCTGAAGTATTATTAAGTGAAATAATGTATACGACTACGACTTAGCATAGTGCCTGCCATGTAGTAAACCCTCAGTAAATGGCAGTCGCCTTCTGCTGTATACCACTCCCTTTACTGGTTTGGAATTCCTGTTCCCTTCAGAGATGAGTTTCTGAGGAGCTAGAGCCACATGACATATGCCGCTAATCTATACCTCAGTGTCATCTCCTGCCTGTTTCTTTCCTCTCCCATTTTCCAGAGCTAATCCCACAACCAGGCTTTTTATGGCGGATGGGTGGTGTTTCCGTGTTTTCTTTCTCCCCTCTTACTACCTTCGTGGCAGGAGAAATAGGGGCTGGAAAATGATGTGGTGAGTGCCCCGTTAAAAGGGGGCCTGAGCTTTTGCCGTAAAATGATTTAAAATCTAACATTTTGGAAGAATTTTTGGCCTCATAATGGATTTGTCTGTCATTTTCCCAAAAGTGTAATTTGGAGATATCTTGATTCTTTTTTTCCTCAGTTTTTGTTGAGCTATAATTGACATATAATATTGTATAAGCTTAAGGTATGCAACATGATGATTTGATATATGTAGATGTTGTAAAATGAATACCACAAGTTAACATCTATTACCACATGTAGCTACAAAATTTTTTTCCCTTGTGATGAGAACTTTTAAGATCTACTCTCTCAGCAACTTTCAAATATGTAATACAGTATCGTTACCTAGAGTCATCATGTTGTTTGCTACATCCTCAGAACTTAATTTATCTCATAACTGGAAGTTTGTACCTTTTGACTGCCTTCATTCAATTTCCCCAAACCCTGCCTCTGGCAACCACCAACCTGTTCTCTTTTTCTATGAGGTTTTTTTTTTTTTTTTTTTTTTTTAAGATTCCACTAATGAGTGAGCTCATACAGTATTTGTCTTTGTCTGACTTATTTTACTTAGGACCTTATGATAAGTGTCCTGATTCTTAATTTTATATAGCATATCACTCTTTGTTTAAAAACTTATTTCTTTTTAAATAAGCTTTGAAGGTTATACCGTAGTAGGGGTAGAAATGATTTTTTTTATGGTAACTCCATATTCTTTAATGAAAAAAACTCAACTGTTTTAGTTCTGTGTTGCTAAGGGATTAATAGTGCAATGACTAAATTAATACTGACAGTGAGAAGGGTCTTGAAGCAACTGAGCAGTTGGCTTATAGAAAATCCAGGGAAGGAGGAAGTATAGAACCAAGTGACCCTGTCGCTATGAATCTGTTTATTACTCTTTGTTTTTAGGTGAGGGCCAACTGCAGAGGACACAGAAAGGCAGGGCAGGTATGTCTAGCTGATCAAAACATGCCAGCAAGTCCAAGCATAGTGCTTGGTACACAGTCGGTACTTGACTATTAAGCACCCATTCTACCCAGCACTGTACCAGGCACAGGGTTTAACAGTGACAGAAAGAGTTCCTGATCCCAATATGCTTGTGATTCAGTGATAGAAACAGACTCACAATTAAGCAACGAAAGCACAATGGGAAAAGTGCTATCCTAATATAATTTTGCACAAAGAACTTTTGGGGCAAATAAGAAAGATCAACAAATTGCCTAGGTGGGAATGAGGTAAATGATACTGCTCTAGAAAATGTAAGGCAACATTTATAAACAGGATAACAGCACAGGATAAGTAGGTAAGGGCATTAAAACTGTTTTTGATGGCTAGTGAGGCAGAATGAAAAACATTATCTTCATAAAATGTGCTGATGGAGATAGAGCCAGGACCTGAACTCAGGACTTGTGATTCCAGGTCATCTACCCTTCCTACCATATAATGCAGCAGCTTATTATCTAAAAAAAGCAGCACATATATTTTTATAAATTGCACATGTAGTTGAGTCATTGTAGGCAACAGATCTGGAGAAGGAGATGTTTTTCCTTCAAGGTTTCAGACTCATCTTTTCTGGCAGCTCTGCTTGGGCCCAACTCTGATGTTTAACTTCTGATTACACATGGGGCATGTGATGTATCTGTTGTTGTGGGCATTTAGATGGAGGAAGAACACTGGAGCAACCTTTGGTCTTTGATCCCTGGACTGCTGAAAGAATGGCTTCGTGGAGAAGTCGAAAGGGAGTAATGAGCAGGGGGAGGCAGCCTCTGCAGCTGCACGTGGTTAGAACAGGTTTGACCACCACCCAGCTTCTCATTGTTACCCCACTTTCCTGCTCAGACTGACCCTCCCTGTCCCACAGCCTTCCTTCTTCATACAAAAGGACAGATCTAAGAGCAGTTGCTAGTCCAGAGGGAATTGAGGAGGATGGGTAACAATTAAGAGTCAGCCCTATAGGTAGTCTTGTTGGTAGTGAGAGGGGGTCCGTTTATAGTGTCAAGCAGACTCATTCTCATTCTGGAGGAAGACATGCGTCTATTCCTCAGGGGATGTCGTCTATGAGTGTGGGGGGGTTGGCTGCAGGGTGGACTGATCCTGAGAGCAATGTCAGGGAAGACCTATGACAAGTCCAGGACTCTCAGACCGAGCTCTTGACCTCTCAAAAGCTTCTGTAGGAAGCCTTGCTTCTTATGCTGCAGAAATTTCAAAGACACTGGACAGAAACTAGAAAGAGATGACCAGACCTTGAAAGAAGTATGGTCTTCCCACCTAGGATCTCAAAAGTCTGTAAAGCTAGATCGTACTCTAGATGAGCTCCTTGGATGTTACCTACCCCTTCTCAGTAGAGGGAAAGGAAATCACTCCCTTCAGTAAGAAGACAAAGAACATTAAGGGATGAGCAGAGAAACATTTTTAACACAAAATACTTTAGTAGAAAGATGCACGGACAAAAGAGTCTTTGACTCCCCCTAGCACCACCCAAGGCAACAGTATAGCAGGTATGTACCAGTGGCATGAAACCAGAAAAACTCCCGGGAAGCCCTGGGGAAAAACATGGTTTCCTTAAAGAGACACTAGTAGAAGTAGAGATTATTTTCTTTTTAGCCTTTTTTTGGTGAATTGAGTGATTAAACAAGTCTCTGAACTACTTCTGACTGCTGGTGCTGTTGGTTTTGTTCTATTTTTTCTTTTTGGTGTTATCCAGGAAGTGCCGTGGTGTGTGCCAATGAAGAATACCTTTATGATTCTCACTCCAAATAGGGTAGAGCTCTTTTTTGAACAACTTGTTATTCTTCATAATGACTAGAGAGAAGCTGACTCCATGGAGAGAACCAGCAGCCAGAGAGAACTGGATTAGCACAGAGAGACAAGAGCTGTTCACCATTTACAGCCTTGGTCAGCATTCTGAAGACCATATTGGATGGAAGCAAAGCCTCTAGGGTAAATCAAATAATAAAGGCTGAAATTTCAAGGGCTAAACCAGTGATTTCCAACTTTCTTAATTAAAAAAAAAACATGCATCTCACCTTTCCCAAAGGTTCTGGTATAATTTTCTTCCTTACTGTTTACTATTATCCTGCTGGGAAGATTTTATCCAGTTTTATTTTCTGTAGGTTGTATTTTGAAAGTAATAGAGATTTAAAAAAATTTTTTCAAACATAAAATGACCACATTTAATATGCTTTTAAGAAGTCCCCTGCCCTACCCTGGAAATCTGGTATGCTTTTTAAAAAATCATGCCCACCTTCCTCACCTGTTAAATACCCAGTTGAAAATGCTTGGACAAAAGTTTGAAATATGTGGAGACAAAGATGATGATTTTTGTAATAAGGGTGCTGAAGCAAGTTGTGTACATCTCATTACAGGATAGACTGCACAGGACAGACTTGTGAGGTTGGATGCAATGAGAACACATACTGCTCTTTATAAAAAGGGTCAGTGGATTAAGAAATGTTTCTGCCCACAGCTCTACGTAGGGAATCCTTGACCTTCTTGTTCCTCAGACTGTAAACAACACAGTTCAGGAGGGGAGTGATGATGGTGTAGGTCACTGAGAGAAGGAGGTGGTTGTTCTACAGAATTTTCTGACTTAGGCTTGAGGTAGTCAGTAGAGGCACAGCTGTAGTGGACCATGACCATGGTGAGGTGGGAGGCACATATGGCAAAGGCCTTCTTCTGGCCCTCGGCTGAGGCGGTATTGAGGATGGTGGAGATGATAAGAACGTAGGAGATGAAGACCAGGCCCATGGGAACCAGGATCACTGATAAACTGACAACAAAATTGATGATCTCATTGACAGTGGTATCAATCCGGGAGAGTGTTATGACAGGGAGGATGTCACAGAAGAAATGACCAACCACTCTGTGACAAAATGGTAAGGTAAATATGGATGTCGCCTGGACAGCTGCCATGGCCAGGCCAGTGCTGAAGGCTCCACACATCAGCTGGACACACACCCTCTTGCTCATGATGAGTGTATATCTCAGGGGGTTGCAGATGGCCACATGGTGGTCATATCCCATCACTGTGAGCAGAAAGCAGTTGTTGATGACTAAGGTAACAAAGAAGAACACTTGAGTGGTACAGCCTGCCAAGGAGATTGGCTGGTCCTGGGCTATGAGGCCGGAGAGCATCCGTGGAATGGTGACCAATGTGTACACAGTCTCTGAACTGGCCAGGATGCTCAGGAAGAAGTATATGGGCATGTGGAGGTGACAATCAATGTGGATAATGGTCACGATGATGGCATTGCCAGCCAGGGTTAATGTATACAGGATGAGAAAAACTGCAAAGAGGGTGATCTGGTGTTCATGGAATCTGGAGAATCCTAGGAAAATGAACTCTGTCACTTCTGTGAGGTTTTTTTCTCTGCATTCTTCAGTTTCAGTGCCTGAAAGCAATGCAGGGAGTCAACATGGAGAAATTCTCATCGTGGCCTCTAAAACAGGGATAGAGAGAGAAGTGTGGGGACACACACACACACACACACACACATACACATGCACGCACACACACACGAGTCTATTTCCTCACTGTATAATCAGGAGGGTGCTGGCATAGCTCTATGGCTACTTTAACCTCCTCCCTTTTTTCAATTTTTACTGTCTCCTTAATCTTTTCTTAAGCCTCCAGGGAATGACCAATATGTGAGACTACTTCACATATCCTTTCAGGTTCTTATCCTGAATATGTTGATGTTTTTGCAGAGCGTGGATGGAAGGTTGTTTCTTTTAATGACATGTAAGCTGCAGGGCACCTGAGCCTCCACCATCCCAGCTTTGCCTTTGTTTATCTTCTAGGGAAAGTACGAGAAGCTGGCACAACAAAATGGAGACGAAAGAGTTAGACTTACTGAATTAAAATCACGGGTGCCACTTAGGAAAAACTTCTGGGAACAGTGTACAGGGAGCAGAATTAGTCTCAGGAGAGCTGGTCTTTAGGGACACGTTAGTGGGAGTGAAGTTGAGGTATTGAGGGCTCAGCCAGGATGGTCTAGGTGAGACAAACCGTTGGCAAAGTTGCTTTGTTGTAAAAGTATTAACAGGGATTTGAGGGTTTAGGTGTGAGTCAAATAAGGAGAAAAGGGGGAAATTGTTGGAAAAGAGAGGAGGACCAGCAACATGTCAGAAGGCTCAACCTTTAATGAAAGAAAGAACCGATTTCTTTTTGGCAGAGGAAATTTTAAAAATAAAAGAGGTGTAATAATTGATTTTCAATTGTTTGCTAAACTATATTGTGATGTAAAACCCCCCAAGAGCCCCAAACTTTCATTTACAGCTGTCATATGTACAATCTTGAGTTAGTGGTATTTGGAGAAGTGGAGAGAGTTGGGTGATGGCAGTGCAGAAAAAGGGTACCATATGCAAGAGGTAAAATCCAGAGGGAGGAAGAAAACTTCTTGCTAGTAATGATTGGAAGAAGTACAGGGCCTCTCTTGTCCTATCTTCCCCCTTGCAAGCACACACAGTATTTCCTGGAAGTTTGGTGAGGGACTCTGGGATCGCCACCACATACCAAATGGTGGTTTGAACCATTTTCTGCAAAGAACAAGATAACACTAGCAGGCTGGAGGATTTTGGCAAATCTAGGAAACTTACAGTAGCAATCTAGAAAACATTCTAGATTCTTAGTGAATCTAGATTCCTAGGAATCTGGGAAACACAATCTAGAAAATGTTGTGGATATTCTGGAAAGTACCATTGTGGGAAATAAGAAGGTGGACATTTAAGGTAGAAATGAGTGTGCCACTAATTAAAGTAATTTATGTTAAGAGGCTGCCAAGATACCAATTGGATAGGTAGAGATGAAAGAGCGTCAGTGCAACTCTAAGCAGGTTTTTAGGAAGGATGAGGTAGAGCTGTAGAGCTGTGGCTACTTAAAATTAAAGGAAAAATTCAGTTCATCAGTCCCAGTAGCCACATTTCAAGTGCCCAAAAGCAACACATGAATAGTGGCTACTCTGTTGGGCAGCACGGATATCAAACATTTCCTTCCTTGGTGAAAGTTGTGTTGAACAATGCTACTCTAATATACTTCCATAGACAGATGTGTGGAATGCATTAAATAAGAGCAACAGAAAAGCTATATAAAGAACAATAACACGGGGGGTTGCCATATGGTTAAAAGTGTCTGTGTGTGTGAATGCATATATTTATATATGCAAAAAGTCTGAAAGAATATACAGCTGATATTATCACGGGTTGACCGTTATCTTCGGGTGGGGTGAGATTATAGGAATCTCACCTATAATATATGGTGAGATTATGAGGATTATGGCCCTTATTTTAATTTTGAGCATAAATGTATAGCTCATAGATAGTTTAGAGAAGTCAAGGAGGATGACAACTGAGAACAGATATTAGATCGAGGAAGAAGGAGGTCACTGGTGAGGTACTGGCCAGTTTCAGTAGAGTCTTGGGCTGGAAAGCCTGGTTACAGGGAGGAAACAAAAAAGAACTTTTAACATGTCATTGATGAGAACAGCAGATCGTATGTGCCTTTCCCCTTTCCTGATGAGTCTATTGCAGTGAGTTACAAAAAATGGTTAAGAAAGTATTAAGCCAGGAAAGCCATAGACATATTTGGAGTAGGGAAGAAGAAGAAAAGCTGAATTGAGTCAGGAGGAGGAAGAAAATCCCTGGGGTCTTTAGGGCCTGAAAAGTACTGTTTTCACCCCGAATCAGCTGGATTTGCTATAAGTATACCTCAGGTAAAAATAAAGTTACTTTCTTTGAATAAATTGTAAAGTTATAAACAGGATAGCTGATGACCAGGGAATGTGGCCCAGGTACATAAGCCCAGGAGAAAAAGAGGGGTGAGAAATAAGTTTATTGCCTGTGGTGAACATTTGAATTGGATTGAACAGACAATGAAAGACTATCTTAAGGCAGGATATTCTTAGAACTTGAGGAAAAAATGCAAAAAGAAGGCCAGCTCAAGACACGTGGGAGCACATAATGCAAATGTTCAATGCAAATGTTCAAAGCAGCGTTCTTTCTGTGTTAGTAGTTATTTAGAGGCAAGTTGTGTAGTAGGTGAGGGAAGGGTGATGTTCTGCCACTAGGAGGAGCTATCATTTCTCCTTCCAGAGGAACTCAGGCACAGCCCAAGCTTCCACATGCCCTTTAGCCAAAATAAACAAAGAGCCCTGTAGTGAGTGGGATTCACCCTCCATAAAGTGCACTTTGGTGGTTAGCTGTACTTCCTAGAGTAGGTGTCACACGCTCATCACTCTTGGAATATTTTTCCAAGTATTCCTCCCGACCATTGCTGTCCACATCAGGAGTTCTAGGGTGTGGTTCACTCCATCTTGTCACATCTCCAGGGATATTTTAGCATTAAAGACTAAGAATACAGATTAAGAGCAATTGCCTCCTATCTCACTTTTTAACCTCTCTTTTTTTTTTTTTTTTTTGCGGTACGCTGGCATCTCACTGCTGTGGCCTCTCCCGTTGCGGAGCACAGGCTCCGGACGCACAGGCTCAGCGGCCATGGCTCACGGGCCCAGCCGCTCCGCGGCATGTGGGATCTTCCCGGACCGGGACACGAACCCGTGTGTCCTGCATCGGCAGGCGGACTCCCAACCACTGTGTCACCAGGGAAGCCCTAACCTGTCTCTTTTTGAAGTGCAATCCAAAATTGTTACTGTCAAGGACTGTGTGGCTGAAATGACCAACACAGGGCTGTTACTGCCCCTGGAGGTGAGGCAGGCCCCAGTGAAGGAGATGGGGAAGTATGGGATGTGGGAGTAGATCGCATTGTGAGTCCTCCTGGGGTGTCTTCCATTCTTGCATGGAAGACATTGGGTGAACAGACCCCAGTGTTCACCTTCGGAGGGGAGGTGAGGATAGGTTGTAGAGAGCACCACGGTGCCGAAGAAGTGTGTGGAACGGGTAGGTCAGTTCCACTGGTGGAGATTGGCTGGGATGAGTTCTCATTAGTTGGAACAGGTGTCAATGAACTTAAGGATGATTTTAGCACCAGATGGCTGCCTCCTCTTTTCCCCCTGGTTGCTCTTTTGAGTCACCCCAGCCAGAAGTGACTGCAGCTGGGCACTGGAGCAGCAGCCCTTCTACCACCCAAATCTGGTTCCTGTCTGTGTCTGAACCCTCGGGGTGTTTCTGTGTGAGGGACACACCAGTAGACAATCTCAAAAGCATAGTATAGAATAGAAAGGAGCTTTCAAAATGATTTAAATACTCCAGAAGGACAAAAGCCCTGTGGGGGAGTAAGAATACTGAAATGTGCCCATGCATCAAAATTTTAGTCATGAAGCCGATACTCTGACTAGAGGAAAAAGAAAAATAAGATAGAGGGGAAAAATAATTTGAGGGTATAAAGGAAATACCATTTGCAAGGGGAAGAAATTATGACAAAACTCATGGGTACTTAAAATTATCTACATCTTTATAAGCAAAATCCGTGCCTAGAAACAGAATCTGTTTTAAAAAGTAAAATATGCAAGGTAGTCGAAGTCTCTATAATTATAATTTTGTGTTAAAAAGAGTTGTGCAGCTAAAAAAATAATGACATTGTCTTTTGGCCAAACTTGCCATCCTGTCCTTTCCTTTCTTTTCCTTTCATTAAACAAAATAGGTGTAAGGATCCAGGAATGGAAGAGTTGACTTCTTAAGAAAATGGTGATTATGTGAACTATTTGAATAAACAAGAGAATGATGACTTTTCTTTGGGACAGAAGCCTTCTCATACTCAAAGGAATTCCCCCACCTTCTTGAGTCTGTAGAATCTGCCTGTGCTCTTTTCTGGTTTTAGAGCATAGCAGGCAATTATGACTTACTTACAAGACGTCACTGCAATGCCAAGAAAACTGATTGTCATTTTTTTGCTAGAAGAAATAATAGAATCTTGGTACCTTACAAAACTCAGCCTTATTAGGTTCTAGGTCAGTCTTATTACATTATTAGGTCACTTACAGTTCACTACACTCTGTTTGAAGCACAGGGTGACACATTCGCCCTGAACACCTCTGACCTTCGAGGAGCTGCCCCTTTAAATCTGATTTGGAAGGGACTCTCAGAGGAGAATTCCTGTTGTCTAACTCTTGTCTCCAGGGTTCATTTGCCAAGAGACTTACTGTGCATCCCGTGGGTCGGCGTGGAGTCAGAATCCAGAAATGAGCTGGGAGATCTCATTACAAATGGATCATGCAGGGAATATTGGGCAAGCTTTGGTCTCACATGGCCTGGTTCTTTCTTTTTCTCCTGGAGAAAAATAGCTCAACTCAGACAAAGATGTGTTGAATGTCACATGGCACTATCTTTTGTTCTTTTGAATCCATGTTAGTGTGTTGCCCTTGTTTAGTTACTATCGGTGAAAATGCAATTATATAAAAGTCAGATGTGGTGCCCCTCAGTG